AAGAAGCAGCAGCTTGAATTTTCGCGAAATATCATCTTGAGAATTAACAGCATGTAAGTGTTTCAACATAGCGTGAGTTGTAGAAAAAAGCACGTAGACTGAGAGCAATATCCAGATCAACAGACGAGAGGATCCAGGACATAATCTGGGTATTCTCAATTGCCCAATCAACCTTAGTTTTGGCGGACGCATCCACCCCGGGCTCCTGGGAAGTGCCATCGAGGATAGGCAGAAGCCGCCTCCCCTGAACAAAAACTCAAAACTGAAACTCCCATAGCGGGAAATTTCCCCGTGAACTGAACTAAAATGAAGTCCATCTTAGCACCCTCCATAATACACACCACAGAAGAATCCAACTAGAATTTCAGCAAGCACAAACAAGACAGAGAGAGCCGCAAGCAACCAGAAAAATAGCAAGAAGCAGCCGAGACCAAAGAAAACAAACAAATAAAAGATCAAACCAATAAGTCCCTTGCCAATCCAAGCAGCGACAGCGAATAAAATTCCAGAGCAGAATTAACACCCAAACTAGAAATAATACCTGTGCCAAATAAAACCAAGAAGCGGCAGCACACGATCACCCGAGAAGCAACAACAGTGAAGTAGAAATTCCAAAAGAAATTTGCAAAGACCAATAATGCAACACCCACAAGAATACTCAACCTAAACCATGAAATTGAGAAGAGGCTCTGATACAATGTCAATCTAGAAGCAAACCAGGAATAGAACAAACACTAAGCACGAGATTTACGTAGTTTCCCCAACGATAAACGTTGAGACTAGTTTACAACAAAAAGGCGTTAGGTTATCTTATTCCTCAAAGTTCCAAGATAACGTACAAATAGTCTCAGAGTATATATATATGCACCACTCCCAAGCCCTATTCCGCACAACTCACGGCTAATATAATTACAAATTTGGTACACAAAGTTATCGCTTCTAACAGGGACCACACGTCAAACTATCTCCCCATACTAGTGTTTAGTCATTTCGAGCAAACAAGGACATTGTCACTACTTATACGAACTGACTAAATACCCCTAAAATAACATGCGTCTAGACCTTCATTAAATAATGTAATGAGTGTCCAAACACAGCTGGGATTGGGACTCACGGGAGTCATCGCCGCCAATTTCAAAGGGGGTTTAAGCGCTTGAGGATGAGCCTCTTTTTTCCGTTGGAGCTGCAACCCAGAGGTGGAAGCTCTCGGTGGAGGGAGGAAATGAGTGAATTGTTGTGGATTTCGGGGGAGAACACAATGAGACTTTGTCTTTGAGGTTTGGGGTTGCAATATTACAAAAAGAAAAAGAGAAAAGTGCTCGTTCACTCTGTTCTTGGTGGGAACGGAGATACGAGGAAGAAATGTTAGGGAGAAAGAGAGGAAGAGATAAGCTAGGGAATGTGGCAGAATTTTTTTATTTTTTTCATTATCTATTATCTTATTAATTAGATAAACGAAACAATAAAATATTTTAATTTTTTTTTTGTTTTGTTTTGTGCTGACATGGCAGTGAACTGGACTATTGACTAATGGTAAACGGTGTTGACCATACAAATTGATGGTCAAATCATGGGTCGTGGCAATTGAGTCTATATGATGTATAATTGAGGCTAGGGTGGGAATTTCTAAAACCACTGACCAAAGTTGATTGTATGGGTATAGTTCGGGCCAAAATAAACTATTAACCCTTGTTATTTCTTTCCTCGTTTACTCTCTAAATTCCTCGACATCCTCCCCTCTTATCTATCAACGTTAACCCATATGTCAGTATGTTAATTCGTTGACTCTTCCTCTGACCAAACCATCTCGAACCCCCTCGAGTTGAGATTTACTAAGGTGGCCACAAACCCTCAACAAATCGTTGATCCGATCAAAATGAGCATAAATAGCATAGTATTTGCGAATGTGAATGTAACACATGGATGCATTAAAACATCAATGCTTTAAAACAATGTAAAATTCCTTTTCAACTAATCTTAATTATAATGAATACAATAAATATTTTTAGTGACAAAACGTAAAACTATTTATTAGAATGATAAAAACTTGCCATTTATCCATTATTAAACTCTTTCACATAATCTCCAAACAACAATATTTAATATTTTCATCCATCCAAAATTCGACTCGTTCTTTCACTATTCGTTTCCTTAGAGATTATAAAAATATGTGAAAAAATCATTATAAAAAGAGAACTGAAAGTTAGTTTATTCCATATATTCTTATTATGATACACCTCATCAAACACTCAAACAGACCTCACTCGACGCGTTGAGTAATGTGGTTAATCAATCCTCTTATGGCGTCGCCCATCCCACTCGTGATCACAGAGTACTCGTAAAAAAAACTTAATCAGCAAATTCTCGTCCACTACCCACACAAGTAAGCATTTCCACCTCAAAATACTAGACTTATATAAACAAAATTTTACAAACACCATATTTACACTAAAAATTCTCAAAAAATATAAGTTTGGCATGGTACGTTGGATTGTCCAGTGATCTAGGTGTTGATTCGTTAGAACCATAGCAAATCACACTCGAATGCCACTGTCACAAAAAAAATGTTGTTTGCTCTCTCAAACGGGCCATTTTGTTATTTCAATAAACTTTGAACGACCGTGACTTTGTGCTCCACAATTTGATCATTGCACAAAAAAAACATAAACATTCAAGGTTTACAACTTTTACGAGGGCGAGCAATTCCAAAAGATAAAATGTATTTGAATGTAATGGATTTTGAGAATAACAACTTCATATTATACACACAATTAGACAATTCCTTAAGGTTTTCAATGTTGCAAAGTATGCTTTGAGATTAATCATGTAGTGTTTGTGTACAATGTATAATAATGAATAATTAATACAAAATTTATATTTGGTCATTAGTAATTGAAAGAGGATAAGTTGGCGATTAGTGAAATAAGTAGGGTTAAAACTTAAAATTATAAAAAGTCATCATGGACTTTGTACCCAACACAAATCCCACTTCTTGGGGTGGAATTCTCAAGTCCGTGGGGTCCACGGATTTGGACCCTCAAAGTTCGTGAGGTCCACGAATTTATTCTTGCTAAATCCATCAAGTAAACGACAGATTGTGTACAAAGTCCTTGATGCTTGATTTTTACGTACCAAATCCATGATGAATTCCACGAAACAAACGAGACCTAAAATTCATGATGATAAATTATCTTTCTACCCTTATTCATATTCCATGCTTTTGCTAAGTTAATTTTGAGTGACTTGATGGTTGGTTGTTTTTCAGCTACTAGGTGTCCTATCAAGCCCAGCCGGCGTACTGCTTCCATGCGAAACACGTCAACATCCCCATCCTCCACCTCAAGTGGAGTGTCGTCCTCATCCTCCAACATTATCTTATCGAGTTACACTTCCAGACTCTCAGCAATACTTTGGAGCTCCGCTTGCTCCCTTTCAGACTCTCCAATCTCCATGATTGTTGAATCCTTCGCTCTTAGATATCAGTTGTTTGTGATCAAAGTTATCGGCAAGAGGATTGTCCTCTTGAGCCAAAACCCTAAACACGTCTTCAATTATGGTCTAGCAAAACCTTAAAAATTAAGGCTTTATAGACTACGCAAATCGACTAGGTCTTCCTTCCTAACTGGAAAAGATTCCTTCTACTTGTAAGATACGTCTTCAACAATGATCTCAGGCACCGCCTTAAGACACCACCCGGAAAACCTAGGATTTCCGCAGCTCAACCTACTCTCGCCAAACGAGAGAATTTGTGAGGATGATTCTTAAATTTACCATTCACGAACTTATGATAATCTAAATACAATTTGTTCATGTTAATTTTTGTATAGTTCGTCATCATTTTTAAATACAAATTTTCCGGTTGAATTTTTTAATTTCAATACCAATTTTTTTTTACAAAAAATGATTGATCTAATTTGGGTCTACACACAACACTTTTAAAATTATTGATCTAATTAAACTCCTAATTAATCTTCTATTTAAACCCCAATTAACCACTAAAATCTTAAAAGAAAAAAAGAAAAGCCACGTGGCGGGCTGTCGGTTGTCCTGCCCACTAGCACACCCCTCCCCATTTACATTCCCTAATTTGGGGATCTTTTTGCACATCTTCACCAAATATAGAGACTCCATTGGAGCCAACTTTCCCCCATTTATAGAGACAGCATTGGAGTTAGCCTAAGGGGAAGATTTTGATGAAAGAAAGAGTGGGCAGTAAAGAAAAAAGGGTGCAGATGGGGCGTTGCGTTTGGATAAGTGTATTTCAAATGTAAGGTATTTGAAATACTAGCATTTGAAATATTAGCATTTGAAATACATGTAATTCAAATTCGTTGTATTTTGAATTTAAATTTTTTTTTTTTAATTTTCAATTTTCTTGTCACTTTCTACAAATTTGGCAAAATTACAGTTTGGTACCCAAAATTATTTTTTCTTACAATTTATTACCTAAACTTTTAAAATTTACAAAAAGGTCCTGAAATTTTGATGGTAAAATTATGTTTTGGTACCTTTATATATTTTGTCTCACACTATAGTACCTAAACTTTTAATATTCTACAAATAGGCCGAATCTTTTGTTAGGAGGTATTTCAAATCACTAGTTGTTGAAATGTATTTGAAGTTGACAAAAAATACACTAAACATGTATTTGGAAATCACCCCATGAATTTGATATAAATTCAAATACCAAATGTAATCAATATCCAAACACATGATTTGATATTTGGAAATCCAAATTACAAATACTAAATCCAAAAAATCATTGTATCCAAACACACCCTTAGTTGATTTCCTAATCCAATGCATTGGTAGTCACTAGAGTGCATGTTGGCTAACAAATTAGTTTGGTCGCATTGTCATAATATAAGGATTGCCAGGACTGGTGGACATTGGTTTGTTTATTGTGCAGGTATCGCTTCAAGTAACATGTTTTTCCATGAGCAAAAGATAAGTTTTAATGCACTTGATCGATTCATTAAGAAAAGGTTCCATGGACCATGGATTCATTTCAACAAGAATTATGACATTATTGTCATTCAGGTGCTAAAGAGCTGTCCATTTCATGGCATAAAAAACTCTCTTATCGATAACTCATTTTATAATCTACTATCGTTCCGATTCGGAATATCTTCGCCAAAAAAAAAAAAGAACACAGCATAGAACAGAATATCATCATCCACAAATTCAGAAGGCTAACGAACATATACACCTGCTACTGGAACACTTTAGATTCCACCATCTGCTCCATTCCTCCCATACTAAAAAATTCCTCAGACGCCAGTGAAAGGAAAAAGGTCATGCTGCTCGTTGAGAGCCAAAAGGACTGGCTGGCTACCCTCTCACACCAGTTGTTTCCAAACACTCTGGCCTTGCTTCCTCAAACAAAAGCAGCTCGCCGTCCATTGATCCCACGGCAAGGTATTTCGCATATTGACCAAATCCCACACATGATACTCTCCCTGCAGGTAAATTCAGAATCCAAAACCAGTCAGTCAATACACCACCCTCTTCAAAACTGGACAGCTTTTGAGACAATGCAGCAGAAGCAAGTAACCTGTATCAGATAAAACGGTACGAGTTTTGATGCAGTTCCAATCTTCTGTCGGGTTTGAAACTCTGCACAATCCCAATTACCAAACACAACAAAACAATCACGTGTTGCAGAAAGATCCACAAAGAATCCATGAAGACATTAACAGATCGTTTGTTCTGGACAAAGAACAACGAAGCTGTCCTACCTTATGCCAGAGCTTGTTGCAACTCCTAAGTAAGGGCAACTGTGGCCGAATGTCACTGCAACCACAAGATTAGTCCTCACCAGAAGTCGAGATCATGCAATAAAACAAAACAAAAGAGAAGAAGACAGTCCACCTTAATGAGCAAGCATTTAAAGGAAAAAACATACCGGAGCTAGCTGGTGTATCTGCATCAATAAAATCGGGGATACAGAGTTGCTCCCATGTGCGGCAATCCCAAAGCTTAACGCCATCTTCTGCAGCAGTCTGTCCAATTCATGTAGAGATAGCACCAGATCATTGCCACAAAACTACAGTAATATCGGGATATCGGTATGTTCTTCAAGTTCATTGAGCAGGAACACTTACAGCAAGGAAGGCATGAGTTTCAGAGAAAGACATGGCAGTAACTGCCTCGACATGCCCACCAAGTTCGGCAACTGGGTCCTTCAATCAAAAAACAGAAAACGAAATAAGGTTGATGCAATCAATTTAGGTGCCAACTATCCCAGTTCACTCAACAACATTGAGTCACTACTCATTAGTACCTGTTTTCGGACATCCCAAATTTTGACAATACCTCCACAAGTGCCCAATCCAAGAACGGTACCTTCAGGATGGAAGGCAGCAGCCGTGTACCCTGCACCAATCCAAGAACCGTCTCTACCTGTAGTATTAACCTGCAGAACCAAATTCAAAAATCCCCCTAAAATTCGGGGGACAAACATGTATCACAAATCCAGCGACATTCATGATGGTAACTGAGTGGCAGAATTAAAAGGATTGTTCCAGAAACATTGCCTTTGGCCCGGAATCGTCGCCGTAGAGATCGTAGAGCCACCATGTAGCATCAAGAGAAGCAGACACAAAATATTCGGCATTGACAGTGATAGCTCGAACCTGCACATGAACATAAGAATTTCAGCCCTGAGCTAGCAACAGCCAACACCATAATGTCACTCGTCATAGAGACATTATTAGGTTTTTATACTTTGATCCCTAGTGATCCCTGAAACGATAATCACCTACCTCATCCATATGATTCTTAAAAGTGTGTCTGTAAACATAGCTCTCATCTTCAGTTCGCTCCCATACACGAATCGTCTGTAATAATGTAGAAAAAAATCATGTACATGACGTGAAGTACAAGGGTGTTGCTACGCGACCGAAGCATGTGTATTCGAATAGACAAGACTGCTGATTCATAAATGGGAGGCCAAAACTGTTCATATTACCTTATCAGCCGATCCCGTCAAGAACACCTCACCATCAACCGCAAATTTGACAGTAGTAACCTTTTTTGAGTGACCAGTAAGTGTTGACCGGACCTTTCTTGAAGAGTAATCAAACAGTACGGCGGTACAATCATCTCCTCCGGTGGCAATAATGTCCTAAATACAAAGAATGTAAAGCTCAATCAGAAACTAATACATACTTTCAAACAGGGGATAGATAATCAAGATATATACCTTGGAATACTCGATATCTATTGATCTGACTCGTCCTTTGTGGACTGCATGAGTGGCAAGTTGATAGTATCTCCCCAAATCTTCGAAAGATGCCAAGGTGCAGGTCGCATCACCTTTCGCTGATATAAAAGGAGCTGGTTCACTTGAACTTCTTCTTAAAGCTAACTTCTTTCGACGAGACGCAAAAGCAGAACCAGATTTTCCTTGCATTAACTCTATGTATTCATGCTTGAGTGATGGAGGAACACGACCAGCACCACCACGGCTTGCATAATTGGCCCACGTACCCCTCAATTTGTGAGGTGGGTACTTCAAATTCTCCGGCAATCTTGCATCAACTATAAATTGGGTGTGCTGCTTTTCGATTGCACGCCAATTAAATTCACCTTTCGGATTACGCTTTGTTGCGAGCATTGCACGAAATAACCGACCGGCTTTAAGTACTGTTTCCTTTGATGTTGCACTGCTTGCCGCCGATGTTTTCTTCTTCGATGCACTGCTTCTTGTTACATTATTCGACGCACTGCTACTTGTTGCCTTCACGTCGAAATTCTCGGACTCCTTGAGAGGGAATAGGCGCGTATAGCAATACTTGACCTTAAGATTTTTGAAAGTTTGCTCAAAATTTGAGGAAGAGTAGTCAAATGTTACTCCAAGAAGATTCTTCAACGAATTCAGCTTCGCCATATCTAAATCATGCTTGAGTTTGTAGCATTCTTCATCAAAAGCCAACTGCGCGAGAGATGTATTTAGGAACGTCTCCAGCAGTTTAAACAAATACATGTTACAGTGTCTTTCCACTTCAGGGTCTGATCTCAAGATTCTGACTGCAAGCTCGAGCAATTTCTTCGTATCTCCGTACGCCTGTTCCGAATCTGCATTTCCCGTCGAAGTTGGAGAGCTGGGGGAGGAAGACGACATTGCGAAGGTAGAAGACAAAAAGAGCGCAAACTGAATGAGGGGAGAACCTGCTCAAACTCACCCTAGAAGAAAGATGAAAAACATAAGACCTAGCACGTCATTACATTACAGGGAACAGCAATATCAGGTCAAGGTGCTTAAAACAAACAACTTAATAAAAATCAAACATCAACCTCCAAATATGTAGATATGTATTCAAACATAGAATAGAACCTTCACCATAATACAAGAACAATATTCCTACTGATTTCCATAAATTTGCGACGCGGGTGAGTTTAATAATTAATCCTTGCATGTTCATAGGCTCATGTATTTCACATAAAACTAACAGCTGTTTGCAATCATCATGGAGCCTCTCCTACCAGGGAGACAAAATAGCTTACTCAACAAATCAAAAACTAAACAAAAGCCTAGAAGAATCCTCCATACCTCAAAGAGCGCAGCAACAAGGAGATGTCCTTGATGGGCTGCGACACGAGATCTCCGGACCTTGGAAGGCTTCTTGTTGGCAGTGGCAACCGCAGCCGAAACCCTAAGTGGAGGAGGAGTTGTAATGGCGAAGCAGGGGAATGGCGGCCGAGCAGGAGAATGGTCTATTACGTGTACGTGTGTGTGTTCGAGTTCTATCCGCACACGTACCTCATCACTTTCTTGTCGTCCAAGTCACTAGAGTTGCTTTCCCTTTCAAAGTGTAACTCTTTTTCTCCTTCTACGTGACACTAGAGTTCAGCAGGTTCACAAGTAGACTTCTTCTATATATGGCTTGCTGTTGTACGTTGTAAAGCAAGTCATTCGGTCATAAATTCAATGAAAGAAAGGACTAAGAGCCCTAAGCTCTTCGTGGACCAGTTCTACTCATATCGAGTAGGGAAACCACGTAAAATCGTGTGTCGTTACTTCCGTATTCAATTATTTTACATGGTCTCATACGGCCATACCCTCTGAGTTTGTTCTCTTGCCGGCCGACCAGAGGAGGAGCAGGGGAATCCGGGAATGGCGGGAGTCGACGAGAGGCGGAGGCGGGCGCAACGGGAGTTGCAGGCGGAGCAAAGGAGGACCAGGGGAAGGGTAAGACGCGACGGGAGTCGGGTCTGGGAATTTATTTAATACTAATCGTGTCGCTTTGATGATGGTATTGATATGGATTTGTTCGTGGAAATTTAGTTTGGGCTTGAACCGGAATTTATCTTTTGTCTTAGAAAATTAAGGAGATGGAATCTACCTGGCCCATCTCTTTTGGAGTTCCAAATCCGTGTACCCTACGGATTTGGAATTCCTCCTATTTATGTGGAATTTGAGTGATGGATTAAAATTCATGATGATAAATTATCTTTCTACCCTTTTTTATTTCTTTAATTACAAGTTTGTCCTATTTTATTTCAATGATCATGCAAATATAAACTTTTATAATGTTGTATTTTATAAGTATGAATGTATCATTTTGTTTTATAATATTATATTTTATTTAAATATGAATGTATATGTATATGTGATTTGTTAGATTCAACTATAAACACTTCTCATTTTGTGCATTATTATTTGATTGATTCTCAGATTCCAAAATCGGAGAGTTAGAAGAAGATGATGAGTTGTAGTAATAAAGCGAGCAATTGAATGCAACTAATACATAATATTACGTACATTATTAGAAGAATTGTTAATTAGTACCAAATTATAATACATTTCTATATTTTATATGAATTATTAGTCCATATAGTGGTAAAGAGTTTAATAATTCTTTGTATGTTTTGGATTTATTTTTAATGAAAATTTTGTATTGCAATATAAAAATATAATTGGATAAGGGTGACAAGGTAATTTGTATTTCATATCCACAAATTTAATCAAACAAAATCTATAATCAAATCCAACAAGCATACGATACTACATAAGGGATTCGATCATCAGACCTCTAAGTTCTAGGCTAGTGGTATTACCACTCGACCAAGACCTTGTTCGCTTTCTTTCTTTTGTTCCAATGCTACATTCTCCAAATTTGGGATCTTTGTTTTTAGTTAGTTTTTCTTTACTTAAAAACGAACTTATGATAATCTTAATACAATTTGGACATGTTAATTTTTGTATAGTTCGTCATCATTTGTAAATACAAATTTTACGGTAGAACTTTTTTAATTTCGAGACCAAATTTTTTTTGACAAAAAATGATTGACCTAATTTGGGTTTACACACCACACTTGAAAATTATTGATCTAATTAAAATCCTAATTAATCTTCTAATTAAACCCCAATTAACCCCTAAAATCTTAAAGGAAAAAAAGAAAAACCACGTGGCGGGTTGCCGGTTGTCCTGCCCACTAGCACACCCCACTCCATTTACATCCCCTAATTTGGGGATCTTTTTGCAGATCTTCCCCAAATACAGAGACTCCCATTTATAGAGACTCCATTTGAGCCAACTTTTCCCCATTTATAGAGACTCCATTGGAGTTGGACTAAGTTCAGGTCCTTAAGCCTTCTTTCTTAAGGAGGATCTTAAAGCGTTGTGATTGGCTGATTTGAGTTTAGGTAGTTAGTGAGTAGTTATTAGTTATTGAGGAGTTATTAGTTGTTAAGGGTATGCTGGGAATTATGAATAATATAAAATATGAATAATAAACCCTACTATTTTTGAAACCCACGTCCCAACTCGTCGGTTTTTCTCCCTCTCGGCGTAACATGATACTCTCCTCAACATGTACAGCAGTCACCAGCTGTCTCCGCCGCCGGAGATTCTTTGTCTATGTTTTCCGGCTGTCCATTCGTCAGCAGTATCCGGCCGTCTCTGCCATCGGCGCCGTAGCTTCCTGTTCGTCGAAAACCTAAAACCAGTTTCCCTTTAGGCCGCGCTCTGTCCCCACTCCCCAGTGTTTCCCGGCGTTGCGGCATCCCACATCAGCAGCTTACCGGCTTCCCCAGCCTGTTGCCCTGTTCCCCGTCGCACAAGCAGCAGCCTGATCGTGTAGCTTTCCGGCCCTGGTGTTCTTCTTCATCGCACGAGCAACGACAACATATTCCTTTTTTCCCTAGCGCTTCCCGGACGTGATTTCCGTTGGTCATCAATAAGTTTTGGGTCATTATCAACATATCAATAGTTTTCAGGTGGGTTAATTGCATGGTTGGTCACTGAGATTACAAAAAACGTTCATATTTGGTCACTGTAAATATTTAAATCCAATCTTGGTCACTCAAATTAGTTAAATGGTTCAAGTCTGGTCACTCTCCGTCCAACTCCGTTAAATTTGTCTGATGTGGCAGTCAATCATCAAAGTTGACCGTTAACTCAGTGACGTAGCAATTAAAAAATAATAAATAAAATAAATTTTAATCTTCTACCATTTCCAACTCATTTTCACAATAAAGTAAAATAAATAAAACAAAAAAAATATTATAATTACAAATTGAAAAGGGGTCATCACCGACGACAACAACAACAACCACCACCTCTCCTCCGCCGCCGATGACAACAACCACCGCCTCCACCGCCGGTACCAGGACCTCTCCACCATCCTCCCCCACTGACTCGGCCCCGACGATCTCCTCTCCAAGGACGTTGCCCTGATCCTCGAGCGGCACAACAACGATCTCGCCCTCGTGGAATTTCTACACAATCTCTTGTTTGTTTATATTTAAGGAATTTAGGTGCAAATTGTAGAATGACAATTGTGTACTTTTCCAATATTCCTTCCAGGTTCAAGCGCCCAACACCACTTCACGAAGAGATCTAGGACAATATGGTTCCGGTCAAAACCAAAGATACCGTCGGCGACTCGTTCAATAATGGTGGCCTCAACCTTGTGCGACATCGCCGACGATGTACGCCACGATCGCCGCCTGCACGGACCCCAGGCTTGGATTGTACGCCGCTGACTCCATGTACGAGCCCCTGTACACTTTTCCCTCGCAGTCCATCAGCGCCACTCCCGACGGGCACTTGCTGTACGGCGCGTGGGACCGATTCGCCGCCTCCAGCGCCTCCAATTTCAGATCCTCCTCCTTGCCGTGGTTCCCCCCGCCGCCATTTAGGTTTCCGTTCTTGAGAGGGAGAGGGGGAATTACGAGGGCGAGATCGTTGTTGTGCCGCTCGAGGATCAGGGGAACGTCCTTGGAGAGGAGATCGTCGGGGCCGAGTCGGTGGGGGAGGATGGTGGAGAGGTCCTGGTACAGGCGGCGGAGGCGTGGTTGTTGTCATCGGCGGCGGAGGAGAGGTGGTGGTTGTTGTTTTCGTCGGTGATGAGCCCCTTTTCAATTTGTAATTATAATATTTATTTGTTTTATTTATTTTACTTTATTGTGAAAATGAGTTGGAAATGGTAGAAGATTAAAATTTATTTTATTTATTATTTTTTAATTTCCACGTCACTGAGTTAACGGTCAACTTTGAGGGTTGACTGCCACATCAGACAAATTTAACGGAGTTGGACGGAGAGTGACCAAGCTTGAACCATATAACTAATTTGAGTGACCAAGATTGGATTTAAATATTTACAGTGACCAAATATAAACGTTTTTTGTAATCTCAGTGACCAACCATGCAATTAACCCGTTTTCAGGTTATTATTAATAAGTTTCGGGTTTCATTTAATGGGTCATTATCAGGTTAATTTATTAACATTTTTGGGACAATTGTTAACAAGGTAACTTAACTTTATTAACGTTTATGCAAGGTAGCATTAAACGTTCATTTGATATATTATTAACAAAATACAAAGAAGTGTCACCTGTTCATAGATATTGTTTTGGTTGTTTATACAATTATTATCAACGAGATCTTGTCATTTTTCAACGTAAATTATAAAAATTTAACAATGAACAGTTGTAAAATTATTAACGATTTTCGAAAAATTGTTAACGATGTGGTGAAACGTTATCAACGTTTATATGCAAGGTATCATTAAACATTTGTTCGTTTAATGGTAAACGGTGTTGACCATACAAATTGATGGTCAAATCATGGGTCGTGGCAATTGAGTCTGTATAATTGAGGCTAGGGTGGGAATTTCTAAAATCACTGACCAAA